TGCCCCGGGGTGGCAGCTCCCCTCCGCCACCTCCCCGCGAGCAGGGAGGCGCCACCGGGCCGGTCCCGGCAGTGGGGACGCCCAGGGTGTGCGGGGTTCCATGGGACCACCAGCCCGATGGGGTCTGGAGGGATGCTGCAGGGCCCCAGGGCGGTGAGCGGCAGGGGCACGGGGGGCTCAGCAGGGCCCGTCCAAGCCCTAAGCGTGACTCAGTGCCGCACCACACCTCATGAGTCACCCCGGTGCTTCCTGGTGCACCCCGGTCCCGGCAGTGGGGACGCCCAGGGTGTGCGGGGTTCCATGGGACCACCAGCCCGATGGGGTCTGGAGGGATGCTGCAGGGCCCCAGGGCGGTGAGCGGCAGGGGCACGGGGGGCTCAGCAGGGCCCGTCCAAGCCCTAAGCGTGACTCAGTGCCGCACCACACCTCATGAGTCACCCCGGTGCTTCCTGGTGCACCCAGAGTTTTCCCTTCCAGGTCCCTCCTGGCGGCACCGACCCAGCCCGGCCCCGTGTCGGCGATGCCGGCTCTGCCTCATGTGGCTGCTGGCCCTCCTCCGCTGGCACCGGCTTCCCTCGGCACGTGCCTGCGTGCCGCCGGGGCTCTGGGAGTCAGGCTGCTCCTCAGGCAGCCGCTCCTCAGGGACCCAAAGCCCCAAAGGTTTCCAGGCAGCGGGGTTAGACCCAGTGGGTGGAGAGCCAGGGGCACGCAAAGACACCGTGGGCACTGCACGGCCGCTCGCGCCAGGGCAAAATGGGGCAAAACAGGGGTTTGGTGCCCGGTGGGCATCGAGCCGGGCAGAGGGTCCCTCGCCGGGAGCTTGGGCAGAGCCTGGCTGTGCATGGGCTCTGTGCACACTCATAGGGGGATGAGGAAACACGAACCGAGGAGACCACCAACCCCCCCCTCTCACTGAGAGACTGAGCTACAAAATACAAACCAGAATCTAAAAAAAAAAAAAAAATAAAAAAAAAAAAAGGGGATGAGTTTCCAGGATCTGAGTCCAAGAAATGTCTCAAAGGGATGAGATCGGGATCGGAGTCAGCCTCATCTGCTAAATATACCCCGGGCCTGACTCTGCCATCTGCCCCAGACCAGCAATCTGTCCCCAATTTGCCCAGAGAGGGTGGCCACGGCCAGATGAGCGTCCCATGGCACTCCGCGGGCACCGTGCACCTCGAGCCATCCCAGGAGCGGCTGGGGACGTGGGGATTCGCCGTGCAGAAGGGGCAGAAGGTGGAAACCAAGGGAGAGGAGCAGGAGGGGGACGCAGGAGCATCCACCGGACACCAGCATGCAGCCCCGGCAGCCCCGGCAGCCCCGGCACGGGTGCTACTCGCAGGCCAGCTTCCCGTCGAAGCTGGAGAGGGCGATGGCGAAGGCCTGCACGGCGCAGAGCGGGTAGTTGTAGTCCATGGTGAAGGCGTCGTCCGCCACGCGCCCGAACTGCATCACGATGTAGTCGGCTGCAGGAGAGAGGGGACGGCTCCGGTCGGTGCGGAAGGGGCGAGCGGCTGGGATGTCACCTGCGCACCCATCCCGCCCTTTTCCCAGGGGACCCACGCAGCAGCAGCCCAAAGAA